GAGGCCGAGAGGGGGGATGTAGGGGAAGGACCGCCCCCCCCCCCCCCCATTTTTGCACACACCGGGGGCCCAGAGGCGGAAAAACTTTTTTTTGGGGCCCGCCCCCCCCCCCTTTCACCAAAATGTGGATCCCCCCCCCCCCCCCCCGCCTCATCGGAAGGTCTGGATCCGCCACTGAGGCAAACCGATCAGATTCCACAGCTAACAAGAAAACAATAGTAGTACCAAAGTCTAAAATGAAAAGAGTACGATTTACTTTCAACTTATCATTTCCGTGAAGATGGACATAGAATGGGAATCCCTCCACACTAAAAGCCAGTGACATTACTAAATAGTCGAATTTTGGCGGAAGAGGGAGAAAGCGATACTACATTCAAGATCCACGATTCCGCTCAAGCCAAAGAAACCGTACATCAGTGCGTTTTCGCAATTGAGCTGGTTCCTGGCTATGATGAGTTCGCCCTCCTGCTCGTCAAATATTTTTGCCAAGTCGTTCAAGGGGTGGCACCTCTACCAAGATTCCCATTGCTGATAAGATGACCTTTACCAGTGGCTCCAGTGGAGTTTTGGAGAGCGTCGGACCCGAGCAGTGATACCACACGAGCTGGAATCAGTGGGACCGCCTTTTCCCTCCGACTGCTTATATTAGGGACCTTAAGATGCGACGACGGCGACGGCAACGGGAATGCCACAAAAGCAGTAGGTTTAATTAGCAAAACAACAATTTTTGCACGTGCATCACGCTTTTTGTACATTTCTTTGCTGTCACTGCACGACTACGAAGTGAAAATGCCTAATTTCACGATGTACAGAGGAAGTACACAAGCGACGACGAGATTTCCTCTATCTTTCTGAACTTGGATATGGTTCTTAGGAATTCAACTTTAGGAGGGTTTGCTTACATTTGACAAAGTTAGTGACTTCGAGTAATCGGGATGAAGATCGAAAGAACGCGAATTCACTTTTTCAGCGACGTTTTCTCTGCCGTCGCCGTCCTCGGATCTTAAGGTCCCTATTAGGGAGCTTTAGCAACGACGACGGCCACGGCAACGAGGACGTCAAAAAAGCAATAGGTTTATTGCGCACACGTGCATCACGCTTTTTTGTACATTTCTTTACCGTCCTTGCACGACTACGACGTGAAAATGCCTAATTGCAAGGTTTATGGTGGACGTAAACAAGCGACGACGAATCTCTTTTTCTCTCTCTAAACTTGAGTGCGGCCCTCAAGAAATCAAACCGGGGGAAATTCGCCTACATTTGCAATTTTCAGCAAATTGGAATAGTAAACGCGACAAAGATTGAAAAAACGGGAATTCATTTTAAAACTGACGTTTTCGCTGCCGTTGCCGTCGTCGATGCTAAAGCTCCCTATTTAGCTCGGAGTGTTTCGCTGCGGCGATTCATTTGCAGGACGTAAGCCAATAAACCACCAAACGGAGATGGTTAAAAACATAGTTCCTGCCACAGCAATTGACCTATGAACCTTCTCATCTTAGTGGAAGTGTTGAAATGAAGTTGGCTAAACCTCAGTCTCCAACACTCTAAAATACTCAGCCTTTATTACCGTGTGATAGACCTTTTTACCGATACGGCGGCCATATTGAATTAATTCGATTTGAGGAGTATTGTAGGATGCCCAGGGGGCATGAGCACATTTCGTTTGTATTTTCGAGCGCTTTTCGGGACATTTTTTCTTAAAGTTTTCTTAGAATAAGATTGTGATGGGAAAAAAGATCCTTGTGCCATGTTTAGATGTAATAATGATCGCCATTTTTGCTGAGAAATATACAGTGAAAACCATATTTCTAATACTAAACTAGAAAAAGGCGATCATTATTAGATCCAAACAGGGCAAAAGGATTTTTTTTCCCATTACAGTCTTATTCTAAGAAAACTTTAAGAAAAAATGTCCCAGAAAGCGCTCGAAAATACAAACGAAATGTGCTCATGCCCCCCTGGGGCATCCTATAATACTCCTTAAATCCAATTAATTCAATATGGCGCCGTATCGGTAAAAAGGTCTAACGAATGAATGTTCACATTATTGAGCGGAAGTGGAAGTGTCCTATTGATGAGAGGATTAACATTAATTTTCAGTTATGATCACAATGTTTGTTTATTTTAATTATTTGTAATTAATCACTTCGTATCAAGAATTAAGAGGAGCTTTCAAAGTAGTAATTTTCTGTTAATTTTTTCTTTCAGTATTGTTGGATTGCCTTATAGCCAAAGCGTACTTAGTCACTAATGATTGCTTATTCTCTGTGAGCGCCCTAATTCAGCTGGCTGCTTCCTCAAATGTTCACTTAATGTTGTTTCCAAGGTGATCAAAGGAACCTTTATCTATGCCGGATTGTTTTGTTTCAAAGATTATCAGCACGAACGTAATCAGATGCACCTATTTCTGCCTCGTCACTTGCCTCGTCAAAGTCAGCCACACTTATAGCTCGTAGCAAGTTCACTGTCACTGAGTTTTAGCCAAACTTTATTCCAGCTCCTGAAACAAGATGGGAGGGTTCATAGGCCATGCGGTGGCGGGAACAATGTTTTTAACCATCTCCGTGTGGTGGTTTATTGGAGACGTCCTGCAAATGAACCGCCGCAGCGGAACACTCCGAGCTAGAGATAAGCAGAAGAAGAAAAGGCGATCCAACCGATTCCAACTCGTGTGGTATCAATGCCCGGGTCCGACGCTCTCCAAAATTCCTCTGGAGCCAATGATAAAAGTGATCTTATCAGCAATCGGAATCTTGGTTGAAATGCCTTTTAACAACTCAGCGAAATTATATGACGAACAGGGCAAACTCATAACCAAGAACTTACGCAATCACGGACACGCACTTATGTACGGTTTCTTTGGGTTGAGCGGTATCGTAGATCTCATAATGTGGTATCGCTTTCTACCTCTTCCGCCAAAATTCGACTATTTAGTACTATCACTTGCTTTCTGGGTGGAAGGATTCCTGTTCTATCTCCATCTTCACGGAAGAGATGAACTCAACGTGCATGTCCATTGTATTCTTTACATTCTCGTTTTTGTTACTGCCCTCGTTTTCTTCTTAGCTGTTGTTTCCGATCGGTTTGCCCCCTTTGTGAGTTTTTCTAGGTCTTATTTACTAAGCTTACAGGGAAGTTGGTTTTTCCAGATTGCTTCAATTCTTCATGGCGCCAGACCTTAGGAAAACACATCCGGAAATATGGAGCTCTCTGGAATCGTATTTTCCTGCTATGCTCTGGTTCTTTTTATTGTTCATCTATCTGGTCGCATTATATGTTTCCGTTTTTTGGCCAAACAGGATCAACTTAACGAACTCCTTTTGGGTAACTATTCGGAAGAAGAAGAGGAATACAGTCAAGGTCAAGATCAGGCAGAATCGGTATACTGAGATCTGTCTTAACAAACAAATCAGTAGACGTTCGTGTAGTCGTTCGCTTAAAAATATACAAAAAAGGCATATGAGTGTATGCACTGAAAGACAATTTTCTTGAAAAAAAAAAGGAGAAACTGAATCAATCGAGATATTCTGACAACTGGTCAAGATGAGAAGAAGGTGATTGACGGAGATAGAAGTACTATTATAATAAAGGCTTTCAACCTTTGTTTGTCACCCGCAAGCCAGAAAGTCAGTTCAATGGTTATTATTATACAGACCCCACGTCATGTTCTCGGACTCACAGATGAAAGACTAGCAGAAGAGTTGTAATATCCAGACTATAAGTCATTTAAAAAGACTGATCTAGTCTAATGCTACAGGAAAACCCTCTATAGCGGTTCCTTTTGTGCCTTTTAAAACGGCTTTATAATCACAATTAAGGCTCTTTGCATTGAAAATCAGCCGTATATAGTTCTAATAATTTATTCGCTTTGCACAGCTGTTTACATTCACCTGTACATTAGCTATGATCACACTGTTTTTTCAAGATCGGTGCTCGTGAAAACTGCTCCGTCTGAATAAGTAAAGAGTGCCCGTCAATTCAACTTACGGCTGTCAGTATTGCTAAAAAAAAATTGATGTCCGAAGTAGAAAAAAGAATTGCTCTTTTCTCCCTGTTTTACTTTTAAATTGCGAAATGATGGTAATGCACTGCATGCAGCAATTTCATACTCATTTCACACAAATAGTTTTTCAGTTTATGAATAGAGTCGAAACCTGTATCTTGCAAAATAAATGTATGAGGCTGTAACGAAATCTTACCGAAATAAATTACTTATTCCACTATTACTTAGTTTTTAACCAGTGAAGTAGCGGGGCGAGGGGCAAGCAAATAAGAACAAATTCAATCGATTGATCGAATTATTTTATAAATGCAAATCTCGTGAATGATATTCTCAGGAAGAGAAGATTAGCGTCTTTTGGCCAGTTTTGGAAGCTTTGTGAAGCATTTGAAAGGCATTTGCCGGATTTTCCTTTTTAATGTTTAATAAATAGAGCAATAACAAATTTCACCTGGCTCCCTTATTACAAATTCTCCAGGCCATGATTATCACAGTCCTCTCAAAACGACAAATGCATTCTCGAAAAA